TTTAAATTGAGTGTCACTTTTTCTTGTGCCAGTGGCAACATGTGCGTTCTTTAAGTAACTAAACAGTATACATGTATATATATATATAAGAATATATGGTACTTAGTTTAAAATATAGAAAAAAAGCTAAGCAATTCAGTGTTTATATATAAACATATGTATGAAAGTAATATTAATTTCAACTGCTTCCTTAAGTTTATTATAAAACTGACGACAAAGGAGCAAAATTTAACATGACAATTCCTACAATTTTTCAAACAGAAGTGCATGGTTTTGCAATATGTACCAATTTCATTATAAATTTATATTCTGATACCTAGGCAGCTATAAACTCTCTATACTTGTAAATCACCACATATTCAAGCTCGTCAGATTCTACAATACTCTCATATCTGTGTTGGGTACTATGCAATCAGTAATTTTCATTTGGTATCCAGATTATAAGAGCTCCGGCGATATCAAAACAGCTGGCAAGGTTTTAAAGAAGGATATATTATTTCTCTTCATTGGACCCGATCATTTTTGCGGGATATCTGCTCACTAAACTGAATCAGTACTTAAAAACATATAATATAAACTGAGGTGGGCTCAAAAACATAAAACAGTTTAAACACCTAATTTGACAAATTTCTCAATCACTATATGATCTTAAATTAATAATTGGATTGTTTACTAGGCATGTTTTAGATCAACTACCATCTTTCAAAAATGGGAATAGAGAATGTCAATACTTTATTCGATTTTTATTGAATCGAATAAAGTCTGGAATCTGAAATTAAGAGGCTTTATAAGGTATATCAACTGTTTTATTTTATTCAGGTTAATGCAGTAGACTTTCTTCAAAGATAGGAAAATAGATCTCTTTTTAGAATACACTGTGTACTGTTATCTCTTCTTAGAAATAAACAATACTGCACTTGTGCTAAAAACACTGTATTCTTTTATTGGACTTTAACTTTTTCCTTTATACGGGAAAATACTGCACTTATCGGGTTAAACTGAAAACTTTGACTTTTTTGTGTTATCCCTTTTATGCATACATATTTCTTTTCGATAAGAATTGTGTCAAACCAAATTGTTTATTCTCATTTTTGTTTTGCATATGATGGAGGATAATAAGTAGTCTAATATTGGCTTAAGCGGGAACAATGGCCTCTGCTTTCAGATATTGAGGTTTTAACTTACATCATATTTGCGGATTATTTTTTTTTGTAAATCTAATGACTTAAAAAAGCAGAGTGACATTAATGAAATACAAGGGTGTTGGGTAAATAATTAGATCCCGTACGTTCGAATAGGTTTTATGTTGACTTAATATAGGAAAATTTTATTTCCCGGGATAATTGAAAATATTGGCTCATTGGCTGTTTATATAAATAAATTCATGAGTAGTTAGTACTCCCCTTTATGGGTAACAGACAATTGTTTACTGAGACACATTCGTGTAGTGGATGTGTAACCTGGTCTGTAATTCATAGGTCATCTGAGTATATAATACAAATCCCAGTACACTACGTTGTGGTGCTCCAGAGTGCTTTTTTTTTATAGATGTAAGCTTTTCATTTATTTTTACTATAAAATAGCTCTCAGATATATAAAAATTGATAGGCTTATAGATTTATAGTTTTTAGGCTGAAAGATAAGATGATTTTACTAGAGTGTGACAAAGTCTTGTCGGTGTAAATCGTACAGAGTATCTGGTTTTCAAGTGTTTTTTCGATCATTCTGATGTGATTGATCTACTATGTCGTTTTCCTTTTAAAAGTTACATACACTTACTATGGTCCTGATGAGTCTAATGTGATCAACAATCTTCATTGACATAAACACTTTCATCACAATTGATGGTAATAATACTATATAATATATTCTACTAATTTTCAGATAAAATATTGGATCGACTACATGTTTGTTCGCCATTCAATCATGCCCTCATGCATAAATAATGAACAGACATATATGTGTATGCACATAGTTCTTACATTGCTTATTTATTTTAAAATTGTATATACTTTAAAATTTTTATTTCTCAATATACGTACTGTTAAAGCAATTTTGTATTGACATTTTTTTAATTTTTCACTTCACTGAATTATTTGAAGTAATTTTTTTTGTGGAAGTTTGTTATATTTGGTTTTTCTTTTAAATTTGTTTATATTGAAAAAGACAAGGCAAAGGTGAAAAGTGAATGAAAAGTGTATTAGATTTATATAATATTTACCCAATGAAAATAAGAGAGTACATACCTATTGCAATACATAAAAGTATATTGATTTAACAGAGATGAATAGAGTTGCATTCATTGATAGAGTCCTGAAATTATTTGCAAAAACTGACAGACTCTTATAGAGTAGGCAATTTCCAAAGAACAATACCAAATCTTTTAAAACTTATAATTATATATTTTTATTTTGATTCTCACACTATAACAATTCATCTAAATAACAATGAGGTATTTACACTAGGTTCTTCAATTATATCAATTATATTAAATTTGAGATTGCTTTTCAAATCTGTTTGAATTGATTTCAGTTAATTTATTTTACATACGAACAAGTATTGGTTACTGAAAGTACAATTCAAATAATAATTATACAATTAATAGAGCCAACAGAAAGGACTTAAGACATAAAACTCCTTCTAAAATTAATGGTCAAACAATAGATTTCAACAGATGAACTGATTCTATGAAAGCACACAAAAGGTAAATTAAACAAAGCAAAGGCATACTAGTTTCCAAAATCTGACATTCTAGACAACAATTTGCAGTGTGTCCTGTACGCAGGATAATTGTAAGTGGAAATAAATCGTATACAAGCAAACTCAATTAAAATGTTTCTCATTCAAACCACTCAGCATTTCGAAAAGACCATGACACTCCATAAAAGCTGAAAGAAACAATTCAGCGTACCAAAGTAAACATTGGCAGTGCTAGTGTGAAACAATTTTTGAAACCATACTCCGCACGCTCTTAACACTTGTACACCTCCAGAAGGGGCTTCGATACAAAATTTGCTTTAAGTGTGATTGTTTAGCTGGAATCACGAAAATACAAAATCGCCCACTTCAATGGATACGCAGGAAAACCACATTATGCCGGAGACATGCACTGTCAGATTTCATTAATTATCGATACGCGCTTTGCTTTTGAAAAGTCACCAGCAACCACCACTTACACTTCCACCACTGCAACGCATTGGTATCAACGGTAGCATCCAACTCCCGAATGAACCTAAAATATATACGAGCAACTGTATGCACAGATATGTATATTTTAATGTATAAAAAAGAATGTGAGGCTGTTGCTGTGGAAGACCCGCTTTCATTTGAAAAAGCCCTGGAATGAGAATTGTGGTTCCAAATGCAAATGAAGCGCGTGATTTTAGTGCTGTGCCCAGTTCCCAACAAACCACTTTCTCCCATTTCGTGCTCTGTGTCAATTTCACTCTTCACTCTAACTCATTTGCTGTCAAACTGACAGCTACATTGTCAGTCAGGCTTTTGTCTAATGGCATTCCAAATTTGGCTAGTCTACCGTATTGTGCGGTGTTGGATTGCTGTTGTTTTGCGTATCGCTCCGGCAAATACTCCATGCAGATTTTTAATGAAATTGTTGGTGGCACGTATAAAAGAGCGCAGGGAATTTATTGTCTTAATTATACTGTTGCTGAAAATAAAATTTTATCGTGTTTTTTTTTGTTAAAACATTTTCATCTAATTACATAAGTACCAAATGAGTTCTTTAAAATTTAATGAGCATTTTCCGGATAATGATTTTTTATTGACAAATCATTGTTTTAACTTGAAGAGGAGGAATAAATTAAAATTGATTTTCAATTAGGATTTGCTTTAATAGCAAAGCTATCAAAACTCCAAATATATTATACTATATGCAAATCATCTTTTCTTTTCAATGAATATAAAAATGGGCCGAAATTTACATAATGAGTTGTCCTTTCATATATGAAAGTGCGTAAAGTGAAAACAAAACTTTATATGGGTAAATTTTTATTGTTAGGTTAGGTGAAGTGGAGGGAGACACGAGTCGTTTTCAATTAGCTAAAAAGCAGTTTTTATTCCACAATTTTTATTGTTAAGTTATTAATATAATTTTGGAACTTAATAACAGAGAAATTAATAATAAATAATATTGATATATAAACGGTAAGAAAACGTTTCTTATATCCTAATAAGGTATGTCCTCTTTACTTTAACATTAAATAATTATTATTATTATTAATAATAATTAAATAATAATAATGATAATGATGAGCTGTATCTGATTTGACAAATATAAATAAATATAAATAAATAAAATATAAATAAATATAATATAAATATTTTTTTTTAAATAAAAAAAATACAAATAAAAATTTTTATCGTCTTTAATCAAATTTCAACACTTCAAAGAATAGTGCTGAATATAAAAAAGTAACATTTCACAATGATTAAGTTAATTAAGTTATATAGCTGTGGTTTATGCATTAGTTTTAATTAATAATATGCTAAGTGTGAGGTTATTGTTATGGTTTATGAGTTCGATTTAATTTATAATAGAAATAGAAAGTTTGTTTAAATATGAACAAAGCGATTATCAAAACTTAATTTTAAATAACTCAAATTAAGTGTACATTGGTTCACAGACGAAACTGTGGTTTATATTTGACTGGGTTTAATTCCCGAAACTTGCCGTGCTCATTTGTCATATAATATGACCTTTGGACAAGAGTGACCATATTATTATTGGACAAGAAGGTTCTTTTTAAATTTTATCGAAATATTATATTCGTGAATATGATGTCCGAGTTTCCTTTCAATACATAAAAACCATGTCGACAAACTTATCGTATAAAATTTGTAATCACAATAATCTAGAGTTTATAATAAAATTACTATATCATTTAAGTTTTTAATCTGTATATCTTTGAAAAATTTATTTACTTAATATAATTATTATCTATCAAAGTATATATTATTTTAATTAGTTCATAAACGTTTCATTTTTTTGTGCTAGAAATAATTTTTTTAAATTAAAATTTTGAATAATTATTGACAAAACGAAAGTCGTTATTTGTGTGTAATTTGTAATAAGTGAATGTCTTGCAAATTTTGGCACACTTCTTTTAGGTGAGTACTAAATTTTAATTACTCCTAATATAAAATATAAAGTTTTTATTACAATTGAAAATGTCTAAAGTTCTTAGTCATTTTTTATTTATTTTATACTTCTGAGTTTTGTTATCAATAACTGCCACTCATATTGAGACAGTTGTGCCGAATCATTTTATAAAATTCTCCTCTAAATCTCAGTATAAAGTGTATATAGGGAACACTCATAATCATATCTAAGTTCAGTAACATGAAGTTACATAGAATTTACCAGATACAGGGCCTGATACCTGAAGAATGCACTCGAATTTCACCAAAAAATGTGAAGTTGAAATATATGTGAAAAAAAATATTAATTTTTTTTGACAGCAAATTTTTATAAAATTTATTTAGTAAAAAAATGTCAATAATCATTATCAGACAAAATAATTATTTTTAATATTAGAATTACAATTTTTATTAAACATTTTAATCTATTAATGACCGATGTGGTCATTTGACATTTGACTGTTGGTGTGTGCTAATGAAAACATTATTGACATAATCCAATGCTTCGAAAGCAAAGACTAGTTGTAATTAGACTAATTGTAAATATTCCATTTTTATTAGATGTGTTAGCCTCGATCGCGATCTAGAACAATACTTTATCAATGAAACCAAAGAAAACGCTTAAATAATAAATAAACACTTTTACATCATGTTAATGTTGAAGCGTTCAACATACAACGTTGGTTTTTTCTAAAATAAGTTCAGTCTATAATTCAATATCATTCCCTGGAATGAATCGTTCCAACTAAAGAGACTAAAGTTGTATAATGAAACCTACGAATTTTAATTAATACGCCATAAAATTAACTAGTTAACTAGTGAATTAATTAAAATAATCAATGACGATTCTTATAGTGTTATAGTTCTTATAGTGTTTTTTATTTTTTATACATCACATCACATATAAATATACATATATATTCCTTGATTATCACAAACCTATTTCAAGAGATAATTCAGAGCTGAATTAATTTGAAAACTTTTCTCCAAAGTATAACTTCTAATTGATATTATCATCAATATAGTCTTCAAAATTTCATTTTATCATAAACTTATAAGGAATCTTAGTTTAGGTGACGAAACCTATAAAGGTTCCTGCGTGTAGGTTAGGCTAACCTATTAGGAATCTTAATGTGATCAAAATCATAATAATGTGATGGGCTTTAAAACTACCATATAATCTCCATCATAGTTTGTACTTGTATCAGGTCTTAATCATACAGTGTAAAAGTAAACTTTCGAATTTCTAATCTCTTTACCCTTAAAAATTTATTAGTATATATAATACATAAAGGTTAATATTATTTTTTAAAATTTAGTTATTTATTTTTCTTGCTCATTTGTGTTTCAATTTTTGTGCTGGAACATATTTTTTAATTTTCAAAAATATTTATAACTTTAGTGAATTTAAAATTTTGAACTATTTTGAATAACACGAATATTTTTTGTGTGTAGAACTCGCAGTAAGTGTTAGAAAATTTTTGGAAGAATTTTTCAAGGTGAGTACCAAAACTTAATGAAATCTTATAATTGTTTAGTTTTTATTACTAATCAAGAGAATCAAGAATCAAGAGAATTTTAGTAATAATATTATTTTATTACTAATCAGGAGAAATTCCATTTAATATATATTTCTGAGACCATCTTTGTTTTATCCACCACTACTCATGAGATAGTTGCTGCAAAGGAAATGCTATACAGGACTCTAAATTTCCGCATCACATGTATATTGAGAAAAAAATCATTCCAAATATGTTTATTTTAAGTTTATATAGGCTCAGTTTGAAAGGTTTAAAGTATATTTTGCAAGAAAAGGCACATAAATAGCGATACCACCAAAAAAAATTTGTTGTCAGTAATATATGCGAAAAAAATTTTTTTGACAGTAAATACTTAGAATTTTAATTCAATCATATAATATAAAACGAAATAATTTTTGATAAATATTCTGTCTAATGAACTTCAGAAAAGAATTTTTTTCCGGAACCTATCCCCTGCATGTTTAATTCAAATTGTATACGTTTTATATTAGGCATGTTCTTTTATAAACATACATTAAGACTGAAAAGTTTTCGGAAATTCTCATTTAAAATTCGCGCGCTGTATATTTTTCGATATTTTAAGTTTATGTAGTTTGGCAGCACTGTCCTTAATTACTATGCCAAAAATGAGCTCGATCTGTCAGACAGTTCGTTTACGGCAGCTGTTGAAACCAGTTCACCTCAGTAGTGCGTTGCGAAATGTCTTCGACGGTCGTACGACCGTCCTGGAAGGCTTTGTACCACTCATAAACTTGAGTTTTCGATAAAACTGATTCCCCATAAGCCTTTTGTAGCATTCGCAACGATTCTGCACACGAAATTTCGTTCGAAACACAAAATTTGATGCAAACTCTTTGTTCAATATTTTTTTCCATTGTTTTTTTCGCAACGCCCTACTGAGGTGAACTGGTTTCAACAGCTGCCGTAAACGAACTGTCTGACAGATCGCGCTCATTTTTGGCATAGTAATTAAGGACAGTTTCTGCCAAACTACATAAACTTAAAATATCGAAAAATATACAGCGCGCGAATTTTAAATGAGAATTTCCGAAAACTTTTCGGTCTTAATGTATAACAAAAGAACAACCGCTTATTTTAAAAATAACATATGAGACAACAATACTGCTGGCTTATTTAATCCAACTTTTTTGAAACCGCTTAACTAATAAGCAGCTTAAATCGCATGGTTGCCAAGACTAAAAATTTGTGAATGATTTTTTGTAGTAATTACAAAATTTACAGTTAACTGTCATGTTTTTGTTAGTTGTTATTTTTTCAACTTAAAAAATTATTATTCATTTTCGAAACTAGTTTCGCAAAAATGTGTATTTGCATACATAAACCTGTCAATCTGTATAAGAACAAGGATTTCCAGTTTTTCCAGAGTTGCCGTCGCAAATAGTACTTATTTTATGTTCTTTTGCGATATTCTTAAAAAAGAAAAGACCTATTAATAAAACATATTTTATTTAGATTTTTAATTATTGAATAATTTATAATTATGCACATTTTGAACTATATAGTCCTTACTTATTTTTAGGCCGTCGCTTGACATAACATATATGAGTAAAACATATTTTTAATCCACACTACTTTTGTCTATTTGTTATTGAAATACCAAAATTATTTAAATATTTAGTTTTTTCGAATATCGTAGTACTGCCTATGATTAGTAAAATGGGTTTGAAAGGCTTTCTCCAAATTCATGCTAATTATACTTTTTAAACATTGTGGTTATCAATACTATTCCATTGTTCCACTAATTCAATTATAAACATGTTAACAAATTTTATTTACTCTTGATTACAGTAATATACATGGCATATTGAAGTTCTATCAATATCGATAATTGTTTAAATCAACTCTTAATCAGATAGTGTAAACGTAGTTATTATACACACAATATAGTTAAAATTACTTGACTATTTAAATTTTTAATCCGTCTATCTTTGAAAAGTTTCATATAATTTATAATGTTATTTAATATTTTTTAAATTTTAGTTATTAAGTTTTTTAGTTCGTGAACGTTTCACTTTTTGTAATAGAAAATATTTTTTAATTTTAATTTATTTCACAAAATAATTTTAAAAATATAAATATTTGTGTGTAGAATTGGTATCAAGTGAATGTTCGTATTTGTTTTCGGTGAGTACTAAAGTATCTAAAGTAAATTATAATTACAACTAGTAATCTTATGTCTATTTTGTACTTTTTTATATATACTTTTATCTGCCATTCTTTATAAAACAGTTCTATGCAGCTATATAAAATTAACTTAAATAAGCGGTATTTAGATAATTTTTTGCAAAAAGTAAAGAACTTACGTCTTTAGGAAAAATTTTGAAAGTTCTAGCGAAAATATATAAAAATATAATTTTTTGACAGTAAAAATTTTAAATTGTCAAAAAAATTTTCACAATAAAATATTTCTATTCTTCTCTACTCTCAATTAGAGAAGAGAGAAGGGAAGGGAGTTCTCAATTATGGTAAACAACATAGTGGTTACTTAAGAACTAACGCATAAACCAAAGCTATATAAGTTAGCTTAACTATTACAGATTAATGTTTTCTTAAGAAAATTTAAGTTTATGTGTATGTTAATAACGCAAAATTGGCGTGATCAATCTTCATATAGCTGTCAGTATAATATGACAGTCTTAATCATGACTTATACAATTTATTTAAGTATCTAAACGTCTTTCAATATACATTTGTAAATGCTTTGTCGTCTTAATCGGTATATCATTGAAAAGAAACATGTCAATTCTTTTTTTGTTTAAACTTTATAAATTGAAACTTAATTTTTTATTTTCATTTGATTGTATTATTTCAGGTCTGAAGTTTAATATTTGAAATTTTGAAGTTCGCCGTTTTGGACTTACATTTTCTCTTACTTTAAATTATTATTTGAACCTGTCTTATCTATAAGTTCCAGGAACACAGTAATAAGTAAGTAAATATGTAAGTAAGTAATAATGCAAAACACTAATTTAATAATTTAATTTAATAATTAATATATTCGCTCATAATTTTAGAGATCTTAATACTGCGATAGAGTGTGCTCTTGTGTGAACTGAGGTTTGGAAACAAATCATTTAACTAAACTAATAAGTTATTCTTAATCTTGTGAGTATACTGATATGTTATTTTGTATATATAATTGAATTATCGAAAATAAACAAATGATTGATTTAGAAGATTTTAATCCTCAGACAGTACTTGAAAACTGAAGTGTTTAGAGATCTTCAAATTGCGATATAGTTTTCTACTGTGTGTACTAAGAAGGTTTGGAAACAAATCATTTAACTGATTTAGAGATCTTCAAATTGCGATATAGGTTGCTACTGTGTGTACTAAGAGGGTTTGGAAACAAATCATTTAACTGAACTAATAAGTTATTCTCAAGTTCTTGTAAGTATACTGAAATATTATTTAGTATATATAATTAAATTATCATAAATAAACAAATGATTGATTTAGATTATTTCAATTGAATAAAATTTCAGACTTTGTTCTTGTCACAACACCTCAATCCTCTTACAGTACCGGGAAACTTTGATTGTAAGTATCTTATCCTTAAAGTTCTATATGTTTAATTAATTATATTTAATTATTAAGATTTATTAATGTATTATAAATGAATTTTCAAGGTATTATAAATAAATAAATAACACCGGTATAATAATTGTTATTAAATAGTAATTATATATTTTATATAATAACATACATATAATAAAATTAATATATATTATGAATACTTATAATTAACTAGTATCTGGCTTAACTATCAAGATGCAGTATTCATAATATCTTTGATTAGTTGTTGCTTTAAAGGCATCAACTAAAGGATCAATATTTTTTATTTTAAACATATTTCTGTACTTCACATTCTTTATTATAATTCTATAAGAAATAAGATATATATTAAAAAAACGTTAAACGATATTATTCCAATTTTAATTAATTCAGGATAGTTCACATAACGTTTGAGGACTTGGCGTGCTTATTATAATATTTGACTTGTGTACGAAATCATAGTTTTCAAAACTAGGTAATATAACAAATATAATATGAAATTTAATATGATAAGATTGTTTAATTTCACAGATATCTTAACAGTTATTGGACTTTAAGTGTTCGTGGACAATATTCGGTGATTCGCTTTACTAAGGATTTTTGGCAACAACTTTCGTAAGTTAATAATTAAGAGATAATTTAAGAATTTTGATATAACGTCTTGATGTGACACGAACATTTTATAATATATTAATTCTAAAGGAAGCCAAAATAAAATTTAATAACATTAATTAAAATCAATTTAATTTTAAACAAATCTAAGGACAAATAACAATAAATTTTTTAATTTTAGAGATATTTCATAAAGCGGATGCGTTTTTTCAATCATTAGTGTCAATGAAACTGACTAGTCAGTCAAGTTTTAATGATAATTGAATTTGATTGACGTATATAAGACCACCGTGGAAATATCGTAAGTAAATTTTTAATATTATTATAAGCTCATAAAGCTAAATTGCTATAAGATTGGTTAAATCATGAATATATTTCTAGTACAAGTATATATATAATATATCTAGTATATATATAAAATATATATAGTTCAGTTGTGTATTGAGGTACAATATAATTTTGACGTACTATCAATACGGATTTCGAGAATCGTTAATAAGCCTCATACTTCCTACTTAAACACAATTTATTAAGAACTAATTCTAGCAAGAATGCGGCGGTCATAAATTGTCATTATTTTTAAGTTCTAAAAATTACAAAAAAAAAAAAATCTAGAAGTAAAGCAAAAAAAAATTAAAAACCAAATAAAACAAACAAAATCAAACAAATTGAAATGAAATTGACTTTATTTCACTTTATTACAGAAAAGTTGAGTTAGACGACGTATGGTTAACCTAATAGAGTTCGGTTTTTGAGACGAACATGGGCTGCGCGAAGAAATGTCCAAAAAAAAAGCCGAAGCCGGACGATAATAATCCATTTCTCAATTTTCTTAGGGAGTATTCTAAGAAACAATGCGGAAAAACGGCAATTCAAATTGTAATTGCTGGGGCAAAGAGATGGAACTGCATGTCCGAAAAAAATAAGAATAAGTACAAGGTAACATAGTTCCAATATCAAAAAATATTTACATTCTTATCTTTTACAACAATTTGTAATATATATTAATTTGTGTAATTGCTATATTATATTATACAATATTTTCTCTTTGCATCGGAAGTGTCCACAAAAGAAAAAAAATCCATGTGCGAAAAAAAAGAAAAAGACTTGCCCGCCCAAAAAAAAAGCCTGCCCTAAGAAAAAGAAGAAAGCTTGTCCGAAAAAAAAGGCTTGTCCCAAAAAGAAAAAAGCGTGCCCTCCAAAAAAAAAGGCTTGTCCCAAAAAGAAAAAAGCGTGCGGTGCAAAAAAGCCTAAATGTACTAATCCAGGACCAATAACTAATAACGCGTATTTAAACTATATACGTACTTTCCGTCGTAAAAATTGTGGTCTTGAACCGAGAGAAATTATTAAAAAAGCAGCTAAGTGTTGGTGTAAACTAACACCAGAGCAACGCCTTCGTTATCAAAAGCAGGTATGCATATCAATATATAAAAGTTGTAGAATCCATTTATATTATATATTTATTTATTATTAGGCCTGTCAAGTTACGACCTCCTGTCGCAAGAAGAACACTCAACTGTGCAAATGCGCAAGGAAGTCAAAGAAGAAGAAGTCATGCTCTTAGAATAATTTATAAATATCATTTGTGTGGTAAACACAAAATATATGTCAAGATGTATATGAGATAACATCTCATATTATCTGATGTTAATGAAAATTTAATGAATTTTTGACTTATAAAACCCACAAATGATATAATTCGTAACAATCGGCCATGACAAAAACTAGGCATATGTAGATACATATGTCGATGGTGCTACATATTGCACGAATGTACAAACTGATGTAGCCTTCACAAACTACCTACCAACTGTACGACTAAACTAAAACGAAACTGGGAATGTAAAGAAAAATATAATGGATTGAATATGGAATATCGTAAATTACAATTAACTAACCTAAGCAAAACTAACTAAATTTATGTAGAAAATAATTTATTTTTTAGTATATTTATTTTAATTTTAAAATTATATTGTGTATATGTAGTGTTGTATATGTGTGTATTATAATTAGCATATATTTTTTACAAAATTTTATTGTGAAAAAAATTGTTCATGTATATAAATTTAACAATATAAAATGAAGAAATTTCAAGTTAACAAAAGAAACTAATGGCTTTTCCTTTAACAAAATTTTTATAAAAAAATTACACTCAATATTCAATTTGATAAGTGATATCCAATTAAAAAGTTTTTTTTTCTCTAAAATTGCTCTTCCTTTTTTTAGGACTGTTAACTTGCACTTCCTAGTACATACATTACATATATTATTTATTTTAAATTCTCTATTTTGTTGTGTAAGAATTCAATTACTAATGTTACTTTTAAATTTATTCTAATTGAACTGCAGATTAAGCGTCGCAAAAAGAGACTAGGATTTAAGACATATGATTTGTTAGGACAAATCAAGTCCCAGTTCTATAAAATGTTTTGAACTTTAAAAGGCTTCTTAAAAGAAATCATTAAAACTGTTTCTAAAGACCTAAATTGATAGAATCAAACGAAAAGAAAAAGTATTGAAATTGTTTATTAATTTAAAAATATTTGATTTTCTGATTACTTTGAGAAGTATATTAATGTTCCGACTTTTGTAGTGTCGGATATTATCAGAATAAATACTATAAAATATCGTTAACATTTACACATAAACCTGAGCTTTCATTATCTGGCGATGTTTCCTAAAACTTTGGTCCTAGGTATTAAAAATTGTTCAATGATTTTAGTTACGTATATAAGATGTTATTCACATTTTGTTATTTTATTCATTTCTTATATCTTTTAATGCCTAGTTATGCCCACTAATTAAGATTTCTATTATTGTTGTGCTATAGCTTTCAGTCCTTTGTGCCCTTTATGGACACACTCAGCACTGCTAATGTTTGCTTCCTGCGCACACCTGTAGTAGTTCTACGATGTGTAGTTAGAACTCGTTTTATAAAAGTTATTGAATAAATTATTTATTTCTCATAAAGGTAAGGATATATTGTTTTTGTCGAACCATATGTGGGTTTTGGGTCAGCAACCAAGTGTGTTCCTTTTTCCTGACAAATTTGTGTTCGTGCTCATTACATGTAATTCTAGTATGCCCCGGAAGCAATGAAATAGATATATTATTTATTTCGCCAAGTATATTCAACTTTTTTGGACTATGTTTAGTAGTATTGATATCACTTTAGTGACATCAGTTTATGTACTTTAGTGGTTGTCTAGCTATCAGTGCATATAGATATTTCTTGACTACTGTAATTTCGTCCAGAATCACATATATTTCTGCTTCGAAGATAATTGTTTCTTGTGAGGATTTCGAGTATCTCATATTCTGATAAAACTACTGTTTTGGCTTCTTTGAAAGTGAATGATCCGCTTTGGTATCATGTTGTCACATTCCACTTTAATTTGTGGAAAATCCAGTTGCCAACCTGTTTTTAACTGTTTTATGAAACTAAAGTTTAGATGAATCATGTTCCTCGCCATTAATATTGTAAAAAATTATTAGATACGTATCTTAAAATTCTTACGGTTTACCTAACTGCCTGAATGATCATTATCATTAAACATCCATATAATATCTTACTTTGCTTTTCACTGAATATAAATTATGAAGAGGTGCACATTCCAAAGGAAATGCGGAGTTGAATATTGTTATTCAACTCCGCATTTCTAGTTTACACATAATCTATCTAGTCCTTGTAATTTAGTAAGTATGTTAAACATGATTTTTTGCGTGTGCAACTCTTGTAGGCCTTTACATTATGAATACGACGACTGCTTTATTTGGTATATTTTCAATATACCTCCTCAATTTTTTGCTGCAATAGATTCGCATATCAAAAACGCTAACGAACTTCCAAGCATTAAGCTTGATGAATGTTAGGTACTGGTTCAACGATTTAATACAATTTTGGTTAAGATCACAATAGATCTATATTATATCTATTGTCAGTAACACTATCAATCGATTTAAGAAATATCTGCTAATTGGTTACATATGATAGTTACGCTATCGGTATTTCAAAAATTCTTTGAAGTGTTTGTCTTCACATTTCTTTTTATTGGATTAATTAAGATTTTTATTAGTGCAATAAAAAAACAGGAAAGAAGAAAAATCAATTTTTTCAGCAATCTAGATTTACCTTTAGCTACTATTCTTGAAAGTATTAAGATTTGATATATTTTAAAGACACGGAAATAAGCATTATCATACGAAGGCATAATAAGGTTCAGTTTTTAAAAATAAAATTTTCGACAGCAGTGGAGGTTTTTTTCATTTTTTTTAATAATTAGATAACTCTGTTTTTTTTATTCTAATATCTTTCTATATTTTTTGTAAGTTTCATATATATATACCACATATTCCTTTTGTTAAATTTATTCTGAAATTTCAATATATAGTATACCTATATAGCAAATAATGTACAAACTTATAACGATTAAGTTTTTGTTTTTTACCAGAATTTAAGATAAATTGAATTTACATTGCCATATTTGATTCCCCATTTTGCATGCCGTTTCGCTTAAATGATGCCACCAGAAAAGTACGAGAGCACTTTTGCCCTTAAACCTAAATACCAATCCGCAAACAAATAAACTGAAAGGAAAACCACGTTTGCAGGGCAGGCAAGCAGTGCTACCAACATACAATCCCGCACTTAGAACGTACATATTAATGGACAATTGACCCTCATCAGCTGTGCGGTATATGCAAGACCAGGCTGCTTAATAGATCCGCTTCAACTGAATGCGTATGTCGGCTGGTGTGCAGGTGTGTGTGTATAAACACAAACATCTAAGTAAACGTTACACATGTGTACGTGAATCCGCATGATATAGCATATGAAGAGCGGCTTGGGAGCTTGTGTATGAGTGCCAAGAGGCTTTTAAAATAATTGCATACGTATTTGAAAATTTCCGGTTTATATTAGTGGCGGTAGCGGCATTGCGGGCACATATCCACGCCTGAATCTTTCCCTTGTGAAGGAAATTTTATAACTGAATTAAATTATCCTTTTGTAAGCGTCTAACATTAGTGCAGTGCCTGAGCATATGGATCGCAACGCTTCGGCGGGTGGATTTCGTATCTTGGCATTTTAAATATTTTTATTTTTTATTTTTAAATTTACACAATACACAAAATATATAATATTGTATTAAGGGAATGTCTCTGCATTTGAGGCATCATATTAAATTATATGTTGTTCATTATGTAAATTAGAACACATTGAAAAACCTAAGGGGAAATAAATCAAGTGACTGTTTTAGAATTTTAAACAAGTAGCAATAATTTTATAAGAGAAAATGCTTAAAACTGAAACTCGGAATTTATTACTCTTGCTCTGAATTACATGTAAATGCATCATAAGGATTACTTAATGAGTATGACTTTGTGGTAAATATAATTTCTTTATTGTAAGTAACTTTTGATTCGGGATGAGATGAAAAGTTGCAAAGGGTACTAATAAATAGTTGAGTTAAAAGTTAGAAATTAAAAGGGGATAAACCTTGACAATATGTTAGGTATCCCGTGTTGATGTGACTGTACATATTATAACAATTTAAATTATTATGATTTTAATTATTAATATGGAATGAAACTAGAAATGCTAAAATCAAAATAATAGTTGGGAAGATAAAAACAATCATTGCCGAAAATAACTCAATCCACTTTGTAATTTACATTGAAGCAATATTTCGAGGGATGATCATTTATCAATGCCCAATTGACAACTCTGTCTTCATATAAAATTAAGTTTCTGCAACAATATCGAAACTTGAGAACTACAAAAATAGTTAAGAAGACTTAATTATCGCAAAATCAATTAACACATCGCTTTATAACTCCGATTGATAACCAATATAATAACTTTTTGGCAACATTCTACTTTATTTATCAAGAGCAACAGATTCATTCCAGCGCTTCTTTAACATTTTGAAATCTCTCTCATCGAATGTTGCAACTTTGGTTTTAAAATATGTCTCAGTTTGGGCGATGACTTTTTTTGGACGCAAGTCTATGGAGTAAAATCTGGAGTAAGATTTTGAGGGCTGCAAATAGTAAGACATCGCTATGGGCGATTATTTGAATATCGCCAATTTTTTAAATATTACGTGAATTGCCATTACGTCATCTAATGGACTTATCACCTAATAGTTCAAATAAGTCAAAACGAGGCGGCATGGAAATTAGCGAATGAGGTATATTTTAATAGAAAAGAACTTACTAGAAACCTAAGGGTGTAGCAATGCAACATATGCACACAAAAACGAGAACGAAATGTCAAAGTTATTAGGGCATATTAATGCTCAATATCAGATAAAAAATTCTACTATAGTATAAATGCCACAGACATCATTGATGATCAGTACCTAGGTTTACACACAAGCAAATCAGCCATTGATTGATTTTTAAAAAGTTCTGGGGAACCGAAACATCTATTAACTTCTTTATTATTTATTGAGCTTCAATAAGTACTCAGTACGAACTTTAAAAAAAAAATAATTCGCTGTCGTAAGAAATGACATTTCAAAAAGACTATAGATATTACATTATATATTAATATATATTATATTAAATAAAGTCCTCAAACAAAACTGACTCTTTTAAAGTTGTTTCCTAGTTTAAGCAGAAAGATGTTCAGTTAACAAAAAATAAAGACCTCATACTAAAAAAACTGACCGAGCCTATAAAAGTCATATCCAGGGGCAAGAAAGCAGATGCTTTTTCAAACTATACCTTTAACATAACCTATAACACACAATGTCATAAACAAACCTGACACCAAAAAAAAAACAAAGAATAAAAAGATACTAGAGAATAGTGATGGTTGGCACAGAGCTTTAGAAATACACGGTTTTGATTGAGTACAACAGAAGAGATATATTAAAGGTATAAAGATAACATATTAATTTATGATCTGCATATTAATTAATTTTTACATAATTATATCAATAACAAAAAGTATGCTGCTCTTATGATTTTCCTAATTTTTTCGTAGAAATAATTATGTACGAAGAGTGTTAATTTAATATAATTTAAAGTGAAAATGATATATATTTTGAATACTTTTACGATATCGGAAAAGAATCTGAACTAGAGGATTTAAAATGGTTATATTGCATATATTAGTAAGTAGTTGCAATGTCAACCAATTAGTAATTTTTTACCAATAATCCTACCAAAATAATCAAAAAATTCATCTTGTTTCATTTAAAAACAACAACCATTATTAATAATAATTTCTATAGCTGATGGATGCTTTGATCAGCTTAGTGGGTAAAAAATAAACATTGGCCACTCTCTCACAAAGTGGATACTTTTTGACCTCATCACTTCCATCAAACTATAAGGTTTTTTTTTTTGTAGTTCCTTGAGTAAAATAAACAGATCTGTTTCTAGAAAAATTTTTTAAATTTTTTTGCTGCTAGGGGAAATATGTAGATATGAGGTCAGTTATTGCTTAGTCGGATGAAGTGATAAACAATAATCCAGTCAAGGCTTAGAGAGGGGTTATGAAGAAACATTGCAGTTAATAGATAGTAAAAGTGCCCAAGTTAACTAACTCAACTAGGCTCAATGTAATACAAAATTGTTGTTGTTGTTGTTGTGGTTTGAGTTAGTGCTATTGCGCACTTTTACTCTATTGTGGCTGAGGGGCCTATCCCTGCCCCACACTAAACTTTAACTATACTAGAATCATTATCATTTATTTATTTTCTAATTGATGATGGACCGTAGATCAGCATATCTTCCTGTGTGTCCTGAGGTGAACTTAAGGTTTGTTTGTATAATATAACACAATAATATATTTGTAAAATGATATGTATATTAAAAATATAGAAAAATCAATTGTTAATATATAAAAGCATATATTAAAAATATATTATTTTCGTACTTCTTACATAAAACTAATATGAAATATATTTATTTAAGAATTTGAAAAAAATAAATGGTCAAAATGTTTGATAGTATCAAATAAAAATGGGGTTTTGGGTTATATGATTTTTCAATGGTTATGTCAATGCCACATAGACCACCAAATATCTGTGAGCATCCGGTTCTATTTGTACATATTGAACAAGGTTCTCCAAACTCGACTACTGACTTATAATTTTCTACATCATGTGGTGGATAATAATTGCATAGAATAAAATAACCATCAAACATTTTAGCTGCACTACAACCAATATATTCCAATGGTGGCCAAATCATTTGTGTGAAATTTTCCATATTACGATTTTTACGCTCATTTAAAAACTCTTCCCATGAGCCCAAATCAGTTTCAATTTCTAGATACCAATGTCTTACCGCACGAACGGGCCAATGGTCTGCTAAACTTCTTTTACGAAATATAAAATTCTGATTTAAACGAAAAAATTCACTACGAAGCTTGCATTCATCCTTTTGCATGAGACATTCATGCACATAATAAGCTGCCATTTGTTCCAACTTTTGACTCCAGTAGACGTTGTTCATATTTGCAATATTAAAATCTACAGCAATCTTGTTTCTGATGCCATTGTGTCCACTTAAAAACTTTTCCTTATTACTAGCACTTAAATGTATGAACTGGAAATTACTACATCTTGCATTAGGTTCATCCCATTTTTTTTTGCAAAAATACGATGGTTTATCATTGTTGAGACACACATTATCATTATTTGGACAAAAGCTATCTATCTCCAAGTCATTAAGTGTGTAAATGTAACTAAATTGCAGTGCGAGTAGAAGAGATATGCCAACTGCAATTGACCAGTGCATTACTTTTTTACAAATAAACAAAAATTTTTTAATTCTACTTAATTAAATTTATAAACACAAAATATGAATAATAATTCAATATTGAAATTTTCAATATTAAAATTAAAATTACACTTTAAACTGATATAATTTTCTATGTGTACTTTTATATGAAATATTTTTATTTTATTTATTTATTAAGTAGTTAGAAATTGCACAAAGCCAGGCTCTGAGGAGACTTTTCAAAGTTCCTTGGTACATTAGGATGAATAACATCCTCAGAGACCTCAAGATTGATCTCATCAAAAAATACATAAAGGACAGGGCCCTGAAATTATTTGTGAAATCTGACAGACTTACTAACACCGCGTTATCAAATCTCAGAATGGGTACAGGCTCCTCGGGGAGGTATGCAGATCTGAGATCAATTATTGCTTAGTCTGATGAAGTGATAAACAATAATCCAGTCAAGGCACAAAGAGGGGTTTTGAACAAACCTCGCAGTTAATAGAGAGTAAAAGTGCTCAGCTGCACTGACTCATTTAGCCTCAACATAATAATGACAACGTAAATATATTTCTGAAACTATTATTTATTATGGAACAGTCATTAGTCGTATTTTGTTCTAACTTTTTATAAACATTTCAAAAACGGATACCACTCCGATCATTTTTGTTTTTTGGATTAAGGAATTAAGTCTCTTATTTAAGCTAGTTAAAAACTAAATAGTATCCACTAAATATACGTATGTATATATTTACTTAATTAGAATGATGAAATGATGAAAAGCACATATTGTTGTCCGTCAAGTCTTTATTGTTTGTATGTAATTTTATTGATATATTTCATCTCATAATGTAAGTAAAAATAAATACGTCATACCATGCGATGGTAATACAATATTAGAAAATGGTAAAATTTTAGTAAATAAAACGCAAATAATTAGACAAATGCATTTAGGAGCAAAAACAAAAACTTTCCCTTTAATTTATTGTCATATTTATCTGACAGAAATTTTAAATATATTTTTATAAATTTTTTTTTCTCTTCTATTATCTTTTACTGACAAACGAATTAAACTTACGTCTGTTCCAGATATAGTCATGAAACAAAGTAAAAAGAAAAGATTTAAAATTTAAGCAAAACAAAGCACAGTGAACTTCGTTCTTCTTTATTTCACTACTAGGATTGGAACAAATAATATTTTTTCCTAGAGAAATTTTTCGCCCGTTGGCCATTTTGGGAAATGATAAATTTTACAATGTGCGAGAGATTCTGTTTTGTTTTCACATGGAGTTGAAAAATATTTACAAAAATATAGTTGAAGGAATTTGTAGTGATATATAACGAATATGGAGTACGCTACAATTATTATAAGCATTTATACAGATTAGAGAAAAAATTATTTGGCTTCGAAATTTTATTAGATTTATTATATGTTCTATAACACATTTTGATGGCATGGAACACATTTTAATTTATATCTATGTCTAAAATATTTAAGAAGTAAATAATATATATATAAATTTAAATTAACTATTTCACTAGTTATTTTCACTAATTATTTCCACTACGGCACTAACCAATTACAAAATAAGCTCAAAATAGTGTTAATATCTTAAAGTTTTATACCAATCTTTTAAAAGATCATATATAAATCCCCCTGAAATAGATCTGATGATACTATTAATTATATTTGCATAGCTAAGAATAACTTTCACGTATCTTGAAGTAAGTACTTAGTCAACTTATTATATAAACATGTTATTACATTTTGTGCAAAGATCCATTTGTATATGTCCAGAATACTCTCATTACTATTACTATCAGTCTACTACTATCAATTATATTGTACAGGTTTTACCCCAACCCATCATATTAAAATGAAATACAGGTTGGTTAAAAAGAATTTGAGCTGCGAATAACTATTTCACTATAAAGATATAGATATAAAGATATAGATAAAGATACATACTTATATTTTAATATACTTCAAATGGTAAAGTCTTAGGAAAATATTTGTCCTAGTACTTCTAAAATATAGTTGACCGATTGGTTCCTTGCAGTGGTTCATCGGCAGATAGCATCCCGCCTCATAAAATTAAACATTTTTATACTTCATTCCTTCCAAGAAACTTCTACAGAAACGCTAATTTCATCCACTTAAGTATGAGTGGTCTAACAGATTTTTTGTTTACACTGAGCAATAGTCTCATAAATTGTCCATGAAGCATTTCCCTAAAAATTAGTATCTGCTATTAGCTAAAGCTAACCAGTCACATAAAATGTGTGTAATAGTCTCCTCTTTGATCATGTTTCCGCATCTTCTACAACAAGTGTTGAATATATTAAATAGAAAAACGAGTTTCTCTGCGTGGGTTCCTATACACCAATGAACAGAATGAACTGCAGTAAGCTTTGCAGTGTTCACAAGATCCCTTTTGATGAATTCCCAAAATGAAGTTTTACTAAATTTTTCGAGATGTACTTTGTAATTCTTAGGAAAATTTTTGTTCCAGTAGTTCTAAAAGATGTTATATATAAACAAGATATAATTTTAGTCTGAAAAATACCTTCTGCTAAAGTTAAAGTAAACTTTTTCTAACTTTATTGTCTTGTTAAGCGTACATTCTGTAAGCGAAAGCTGAGAACTTCCATGTTACGAAATATGGTATACAAATAGGATACGCTATGTAATTTTTTTCACACGCAAAATTTTCGCTTGGCAGATATAAAATTTAGTATTACATTTACAATAATTTTTGTATAAAAGTAAACATATACTAAAAACTTACTGAAGTCAAACTGATACCTTGAATTGACATGTGCATGTATTACATTTTAGTGTCGTCATGAACTATTATGCTTATTGTAGGGTATCACCTCAGACACGAAAAATAAAAATAAAAATAAAAATAAAACAATTATATAAATATATGTGCAAATATTTATGTGAACAAAGATAACGATAAAAGTGCATAACATGCACTTCGCAATGTTGAAATGTGGAAAATGAGATATGAAATCATACCAAACAACCGAGTGGCAAGCATTCTGTGAAAAACTGATGGCTTCAAAATTGTATTTTTCTTTGATTTAACTTCAACATACATTACCTTTTTTAATTTCTTTGAGGATTTTATTTTTAATCTTTTTAAAATACCGGAAGCATGTTATGAAACTACAGTTACTTCAATTATTATTCTGTACTATACTCAGGTATTGATCTTTAGATGGAAGCTAGCTAATAACAAATGTGTACATGTATAATGAATAATTAATGAAAATTAATTATTTATGATTTCAGCGATAATAACAAATAGAAATTTACAATAACGTATATTTCAAAAAATAAAAATTTCAAATCCGCTAAGAGAATACATGAATTATACTGAATAACACAAAAAAAAAAGATTAATAGTATAAGATTTTGTAATATTTTATTTTTCCAAGCTCCTTGTACATTCGTTATGGTTAGCTGAGGTCCTTCCTGATAGTTGCACTTTTTCTGAATTTAAACCACGCATACATACATCTCTAAATATACATGGATATATATATACATAGTACATACTTTTAAAATTTTACTTGGTCATAAATCGGATAACAAATTATTCGATGTTTATCATCGTCTTTGGTTGTGAGTAAAATGTCTTCAAATTATACCATTTTGTTACTCGAGTTTACTTACGAGTAGAATACTTATTTACTGTCATGTAAAAGGTGCTCAGTAGGGACAATGAGAAGCAAACAGTATTAAAAAAAATACAAAATGTGGATGAAACGGTTCAACAATAGGTGATGTATCGTTTTACACTACAAATCATCACAATATTTTTATTTTTTGTATATTGTATTTTTGCATATGAAAATATATTTTGGTTAATTTAGATAAATTTTTTTAACGATAAAACTAATTTTATTTAATATAATTAATCGAAGTTATTGCGGAATAATCAAGTTTTTTGTGTATCTTAAATAATCCGAATGCATAAGCATGAGAATATAAGAGTTGAATAGTTGGAACTATCAAGATGAACTTATTGCAGGTGATGTATTGAGTACTAAAAAAAATCTGAATAGTTTGAACAATACGAATATTTGAAATTTTATTTTGCCAGATAGTTTTAAAGTTGAATAATTTCTCATACTCATTTGGTGAATACCATTATTATTTAATTTTATTTATAATTTTTATATCGGTGACATTAAACCAATATGAGTGATATCATAATGCTTGATTGACATAGTCTTTGATTTGATTGACATAGGCATAGACATAGACATAGTCTGTAAAATTTATTGAATCAAACTATTTAAGTATAAGATTATCATTTGTGTAGTTTCAAGTATAAATATGATTAAGAGAAACTTGTGATAGAGACTTCGTTCAAATATTTTAATCATATAAATTACTTAAGGTATAATATACATCAACATTCAAACACCTTTCACGAGATATCTTACAGTACTAGATTCTTTTGAAAAAATTTTCGATATACGACAACTCTCTTTAGTTTTCTAAAAATATTTTGGTCAACTATGTTAGAAAGTTAAATTAAAGCGACTTAATTTAAAGACATATCGATCAATTATATTAGAATATTTTTCTGACACACGACAAATATGATATTGTCAATTTAGATTTTATGTGAAAATCTTTAACTTTTTTCTACTTGCTGTACGAATTTCTTTGAATCAAAAATAAATTATAATTATTACAAAATATTTTGCTTCAAACAACACTGCAAAACTATAAATGTATTTTTAAATACATCGGTAAAGTAAAAATATATACATATACTTAGTAACAGTCTTCTAAAAACTTCTTAGAAAACTTTATTATATACTAAAAAAAAGTGTAAACAGATATATAATAATTGTCAAGACTTTTGTACGTATTAAAAGAAGTGTTGTAAACCCCATAAGGTACTTAAATCGATGAGTTGAGTTTATTTAACCTTGTTCGGCTGTCAGTCTGTATGTTTCAGTTCAAACCAGGCTCTCAGTTTTTGAGCTATTCATACTATATCTCGGATTCTTTAAAATATATGCCATATACTATATATATAGTAT